TCTTATAAGGAAAGAATGGGAAGTGGAAGTGGACTTTCCGGATGAGAGGATGCATGGGATGGGAAAATATTTGCTTTCTATGCATTCTCTCCTCCGTCGATTAAAGGTAGGCAACGCATATGCAATTGCGTCTATGGGCAACGGTCACTTCGCTATTTCAGCGATTTCAGGTTACCGCTTGCTCGTTTGCCACTTTATGATATAAAAAAAAATAAGATTGAACAATATAATTTTTTTACGTATGAATGTAATAAATCTACTCGTACATTACTCATAATAATTCACCGCATTCAATACCTTCCATTGTGCCAGGGTTCAAGGTTCGTTGACGTTACACAAAACAGAATTTACATGTTCCTTGCCTCGTAAATATTCATGTAGTTTCCATGGTATTGTACTACTAAGATTGTGCTACATACAATATTGATTGCAGAAAAATAGAAATTCTTTGGTCTTTTAGCAACATTGTTTTTAATAAAATTAAGTAAACCGAATGTTCCCATGGGAAATCTACTCGTTTCTTTGTACACTCGAGGATGGTTAGTAAAGGGTTTTATTTTTTTATAACCTCATATCTTACTAATGTTATAAATGCGAATATTTGGATGGATGGATGTTTGTTTGAATGTATCTCCACAACGGCTGCATAGATCTCGCTGAAATTTGGCATATGTGTAGTAACATAGTCTTAAAGAACACATATTCTACTGATTAAGTTTTTTTTTAATTCCGCACGGACGGAGTTGCGGGCTGTCGCTAGTACTTTTTATATTTCTTTCATCACCAAAGAGGTTGATTAATACGACTTTTAATTATACGAATTAGTGCATGATAAACTTTGAAAATTAATATTACGTACGAGAACAAACGTTGAGATTTACGATAATATTACAAGGGTTGCGTTAATAGGCTTTATTAAGTTTACCCAAACTTAATTGCCTTTGTTAGGGGAATATATATCTCGTGATATCGCCATAGTTTCTGTCAGTTTGCCCATTTAGGAACACCTAGTGTAATTATTAAACCAGTTATATACTTTATGGAAGGTATTTATATTAAAATAAAATAATATTATTAATCAATAATTTGATTAAACCTAAGCTGACATTAAGTGCCTTTTATCTTTTATACTAAAGTGATAATAACTATTTGAACGTGATTATTGCAGTATTCATTTATGGTCTCAAAATATAAACATTCTTGAATTCTTACCTTATTATGACTTATATTCGTAAAACTCATGTTTATCTTTGCGTATAGAGATAAAAAACAAACTCATTGAATTGAATGTTGGCGGAAAATAGTCCTTTCTTATGTAGACGCCACAAACAATAAGTAACGTGTTTGTGCACGATGTCGTCTGACAATTGGTCCTCCGTCTTCTCTGTGTTACCATAATGTACGAGCTATTCTACAAGTTATACATACAAACTAAATTAATTAAGTTAATTAGTCATTTAATTACTGTAAGAATGTAAATATAATTTATTTTATTTTAGTTGTAACATATAATACATATAGTAAGATGTGTTTTTACTAACGTATTTGGTAGACGTTCAAAGCAATTATTACCAAAAATATACATACAAAACAATACTATAAATTAATGTTTGTACAAATCTGTACTTATTTGTGTTTCATTACTAATTTAAACATATAATATTGAATATAATTATTGAATTGTGCTTTATCATAAACTAGCTGTCACCCGCGACTACGTCCGCGTGGATATATAAAAAATGTAATATATAGATAAATTAAATAAAAAGCAGCTCTTCAAGGCATAAATTCAAAAAGAAAAAGAAAAGATTAAATAGTATCCTATGTCCGTCTGCTGGCTCTAAGCTACTTCCTCACCAATTTTCAACCATATAAATAGTGTAATTTTATATATATAAATAGATAAATAATTGGCAAATGAGCAGGCGGCCACCTGAATTCGCCGAAATAACGAAGCAACCGCTGGCCAATAGACATCCGCAATTTCATATGCGTTGCCGACAAAAGATGCACAGAAAGCTAATGTTTCCCCTTACGTCTTCCTTTAAATACACTTTCCCTTCGGATTCCTTCCTTACAAGAAATGGATGGGAAGGGAAAGAGTTCTAAAATTAGGTAATTGCTAAAAAAAATAGAAATAGGCAATGGAAAGATCATATTGTATAGACGTAAAATAATTTATATTGTGCATAAAAATTTCACAACCACATTGGTCCGTTCATGAATATTTTAGAGAACAATGGCCGTGATATAACTCGAAGTATGTGCAGAATACATTTATACTAACAAACAGTATATAAGTGTTCCTTGTTATACGTCATACATACGCTATTGATTGATATATGAACTGTCAACTACGTCAATTCGAACCTTTTACGTAGTAGAAAGAAATAGAAATAGAGACGAGTGTAATGTCATATGATTCGTCTTCCTCCCTCGAGTGTTAAACGATTACAGTCTGGGTTTTTTGGTTGTTTAGTGCTTCATAAACACACAGCTGCAATTAAGAAACAGTTTTTTTATTATATTATTGTAGATGTACATAACTAGGTGTCCACGACTCTGTCCGCGTGAAATTAAATAAACATAATTAGTAGCCTATGTGTTCTTCCTGACTATGGCCAAAATTTAGCGAGATCCATGCAGCCGTACTGAAGATACCTTCAAACAAAAATACCATCCATCAATCCATCTAAACATTCGTATTTATAATATGGAATTTTTGGAAATTAGATGCTCTGAAGGTAATTTGTTGCCTGAATATATTTTTTATTTTTCTGTTTATATTAACTTTTAATTACTATCCATTGGGTTAAAAAAATAAGGTAAAACGCCACGCTTGATGCAAGTTATCGTTTGTAATAAAATACAGCTCCAAAGAGAATGTTCGTTGGAAAACCAAAGTTTTACCATCAATCAAACTTTTACATTACCGAGACATTGCGTTTTACAACTTACCCAAACTCAGAAAAACCAACAACAAACTTTTATAGACAAAAATGAAAACAATAAAAGGAGTAATAAATCGATGTTTAATAATTTTTATAAAGAAAAAGACGAATACAAAATTAATCAATAAAATTAAAACCTTCCAATTTGTTAGAAAACGATAAGATAGACGGAGAATTATTCTTCGCTTCTCGTTTATAATTACGAAAATAATGAAATTTTTACATTTCTGATATCTATATAAGTTTTACGTGACATATGAATATTATTACTTACTTTTAAGACTAAATGCCTTGTTTTTTCAATCATCTTTTTTTCATTTCAACTATCAAAGCTTATTTTTTGGGTTTGTTCACAAAAAAATCCTCTATTAAACCTACATGTAAAACAACAAAAAAGTAATAAATCTCTAGCTAAGCGCCCCAAGCAAGGGTTGCTTTGAACGTATTGTTTTTCTTTTGTTTAAGTTAACTCAAGCCGAGTGTGTTTGTTTGAGCCTACCTACGTTAATATTATATTACTTGCTTGTTCAAATATCATACATAGCAAAACTTAATAGCCAATCTTGGATAGCCAAAAAATACTTCCGTACAAATTTTTTATTAAATTAATATTTGTAAAATATCTTACTTCTTACTCATATTATAAATAGGAATGTTTAGATAGATGGATGGATGGACGGATGTTTGTTAGGTCTCTCCGGAACGGCTCAACGGACCTTGATGAAATTTTGCACCGATGTAGAACATAATCTAAACCAACATATAAGCTACTTATTGAGGTTTTGTTATACATTACGCGCGGAAGAAGTCGCGGGTGACAGCTAGTGTTTTCAATAATACCTATTAAAAATTTAATAGTTTCTATTGAAACGATAACCTGATTCAACCTATAGCCTGATAGCCTGAGCAATTCAGTACTGTAGTTTTATCGAGCTACTACATTCGCGCAACATGCCTGCATGCATGACACACTGCGCTCTGCACATTCCGTCTGCGCGGATTAAAAAAAACTTAATTGGTAACCTACGTGTTCGTCCAGATTATGTTCTACATCTATGCCAAATTTCATCGAGATCAATGTAGACGTTCTAGAGATAAACAAACATCTATCCAAACATTCGCGTTTATATTATTAACATTTTTCCATTTACTAATTTCCCAAGAGACTGGGGTTACGATGTAGAGTTTTGTTAAAGATCGATACTTAATACCATAATGTTTGATGATGAAATTAAATTATTGGGTTCAGAAGCTAAACTTTGGCTCACATTGTCTAAAAATGCGTAGTTTTATTGGATGTGACTGCGTTCGTGGAATTTAAAAAGTAAACTAAATACTTAGTTTATGTGTTTTTCAGACAATGTTTCATATATGTGTCAAATTTCATCAAGATCCGTTGTGTGGTTTCTGAGTTACCTTCCAACAAACATCCATCCATCTAAACTTTCGCATTTATAATATCAATCTTGTATATAAAATTCTCGTGTCACAATTTGCGTTCCCATACTCCTCCGAAACGGCTTGACCGAATCTCATGAAATTTTGTGAGCATATTCTCAGAGAATCGGAAAACATCTATTTTGAATCCCGCGCGGACGGAGTCGGAGTCGGAGTACGTGCGACAGCTAGTAAGTTGATAAAAAAAATTTTAGAATGTTAAAAAAAACGACATATCTGTAAGAAAAAAATAATTTATTTCATTAAAGTATAAAAATTACTTCTTGCAAAATTACAAATAAAAAAATAATCCTTCACACAAATCGATTGCATAAATAAAGGTACGTATATGCGGAGTATTCTTGTGCTTCATTACATACAGATTAAAAACATAAACCAAATATGTAATTTCTACATTTAACCCTGAAAACATATAACGGATTAAATACATATATATTTTAGTAAAAAAAATAACGTTACAATGTTAATTTTCTCATATTAAAGTTAATTATTTTGAAAAGGAATAAAATCATTGTAACAAAATAACAAAATATTATTTACCTTGGGTTTCTAAGACTATAATCTCTGTATAAAACATATCGTCGTCTCTGTCATTATCTTTGACATAACAGGGAACAATATATTTTAAACGGAGATTTTGGTTTCAGAAATCCACGGTTAGTAACAAATGAAGGGCAGCATTTAAATGATTTGATTACATATATAAACTTAATAGTTGCCAGTGTTCAAAACACTATTATTATGACAAAAAAAAATGTATTAAATATACATATTTTCGTTTCTAACGCAATCACAGCAAAAACATCAAAACTCATTTTTCCAATCAAATTGAATCACAATAAATATGTAAATATATACAAATAAAAATATACCAACTCTATTAAATCACAGATATGTCTCCCACCGATAAACAAAGCTCAATAAGCAAATATAATACGCGCCATTTTACCTGGCAAGAGTGCGATGTATGGCAAAGATGGGTATAGTTTTGTAGAGCGCTGTCTCTATCGCACAAGTGACGTCACAATACGTTACTGCGATAGACAGAGACAACGCTATACAAAAATGATTTCTCACTCTTGTGACAAAGTGCAAATTCAATTGTCACGTATTACGCCGATTGTTAAAGCCCAAATGGATAAAATACCTGATTTTTTTTTGTAATCTATATTATCTATAGTACTAATAGAAAAAAAGTTATATTTGATATGTACGTTTAGAAATGTATAAAGCCGCTACTTCCACTAAGTATCCAAAATTGTTTTAACTTTATCTATCTTTGAAAAATCTTATTTTTAACATTCATATATTTCAAAAAACCTTATTACAAATGGAAAAGGACAATTTGTATTACAAAGTTAAAAAGAAATTACATCAAAATTGCAACACGTAACTTCAAATGTTGACAGTGACGTTAAGTCATAATTTTGACAGTGAGAGTTACAAAGTGGGGGTAAAAAGTAAGCGAGGGGATTATTTAAAATAGATGTGTTCAATATTGATAGATATAGGTCAGTCTTATAGCTATGGGGACGTGTTGAAATAAAGTGTTGTGTGGTGGGCGTGGTGTGTGTTGTGGGCGTGGCTACCTATAGCTGATGCCGTAGCGATTGGCCAGCTGCGGCGTGTGGGTGGTGGCCACGGCCAGGAGAAGGGGCACGTCGTTCACATCAATGTTGAGGGATTTGGTCAGTGAAGCGATGTCGCAAAAGTCTGTCGTCATGAGTAGATCAGCCAGAGTCTTGGATAGTACGCATAACTCACGTAATTTGCCTTCTAAATATTGTATGCACTGTAACAAATTATTAAACAATAAAGATGACGATAAAATATTGAAAAGTCTATCATAATTCTTTATTTTTTATTGCTATTTTAATGAAATATTTAACAAACTCTGTTTTATGCATTTGCCATTTTAAAGAATGTCTGGAATCTAAAATTCAAGGTAAATAAGACAAATACCATGGATTCTATGTTTTTGGCGGATAAATAGATGTGTTTTGATGTATTAGTTCATATGTACCTGATAGGCGGGTACTTTAGCGTGTCGCATGAGAGGCAGTGCGTCCAACATGCCGCCCACTAACGGCGACAGCCCGCCCCAGCCGCAATCCCGCCCCACCACGCGCACCTCCCTGACAAAAATAATTAATTAATTAATTTTTATAATACTCCATCATCAATCTTACAATATTATAAATGCTAATTATTTGATGTATGTATGGATAGATGGATGTCGGAAGATATCTCAGGAACGGCTGCACAGATCTCGCTGAAACTTGGCATAGGTGTAGAACATAGTATCGTAGAACACATAGGGTACTCACGAATATCTGTATTAGTTCCGCGTGGACGGAGTCGCAGGCGTCAGCTAGTAAATTATAAATTACGATAAAGTTTTAATTAGAGTTTAATAATAATAATAATTACCAAGTATTTGTATCTCCAACGATGGCGACTGCTTGCATGGGCGTGTCCAGAGTTTTGTTCAGGTACGATGTGAGGTCTAGGTCCCGCCGTAGCTCAGTCTCCCAACTTTTAGGATTTGAAATTGTTCCTGGAATAGAAACAAGACTGTTGTAAAAGTGTTCAGATTAAAAGTTTAACAATAAATCACTTAGACATTAGTCAATTATGTATGTATATTATTGGAAAAATCATTCAAAGTTCACATAATGGTCCTTCGAGTCGGATAACAGGTCCTGCTGTGTTCTATTCAAATTCAAAGGAAAAATTTTGAAGGTATGGCAGAAAGAAAGATGCCTACTCACCTTGTAAAATTAAATCAGGTATATAGTGTTCAGTGAGGCCGCCCAACAGAGACGCATCGAATCCGGATCGCATTTGGCACTGGTGAGATCGACAACAAACACTTGGCAATGGAAATTCTAGAACTTGCTTCACGTCTACTGTTTCCTTGGGCTTTTCCCCGCTTTGTCTATGTCTACGTTGCGGTGCCGGCCTTGAATTGTCTCTGGAACTACTGAAGTTTACTATAATAGTGTTCTCCTTTCGTTTTCTGACAAAAGTCTTCGGCGACATCTCGCGTTTCTCATCTCCCACGATGACCTCTTTGGCGACTTGCGGCTCAGACTGTCGGGGCATGTCGTTCATGTACTCCATTTCGGAAGCATTGGTGGGCGTCTGCAGCAGCGACTCCATCAGCTGGCACTTGTAGCAAGTGTCGCATCTCTCCTCCTGGATGGGCGGAACTATCGTCGGGTCGAACTGGAAGTTGTCCAGCTTTAAGTTCCCCGGCTTCCCTATGTAATGCCTATCTAGTATCTCTAAGTTTTTGCTCTTCATATAATTAGTGACTATCTGTGGGTACTTATCGAATTCAAACTTAAAACCGGAATGTTTTATTGGCTTGGAATGTTGCAGTGTCTGACGGCAGCACTTGGAGGGGCTGTCGGGGCCGCACGAGCTGTCCCGCGCGCAGTCCCGCCGGGCCCCCGAGCACGTCTCCTGCGCCACTGGACCCGTCCCCTCCTTCTGCGCATTCGAGGACTTCTTGACGCTCCTTCCGCCATTCGATTTGTTCTTCAAACCGACCAACTTCTCGTCCTCGCCCAGAACGAACACCACCTTATTCTCCGACTCCAAGTCCGACCCGGAGGAATCTAGACTCGAGTCCGAACCTTTCAATGAGATCAGCACCGTGGGGTTCCTCCTCATCCCGGCGACCGACCTCTCGCTGCAGACCGCCGGCTCCGAGGCATTAGAGAGCTTATCATTAAAATTAGAGAGCGTCGCCGACCTTTTGAGGCTGACCTCGCTCGAAACTAACGTACTAACACTACTACCGCTACTCTGAGTATTGAACGACGGCACTTTTAAACTATCGGGCGACTTGAGTCGCCCGGCGCTATTCCCGCACGACTCGTTCCCGCCGAGACCGTAATCGTGTGCGACATTGACACATTTGACTTTGCCTTCCTGATAATCACAGTCTTTGTATGCGAAGTCGGTCCTGGTGACATCACCACAGCGGACGAAGTATGTGAGCACGGTGAGGAGTTTGTTGATGAAGTGCGCGTTGGTGGTGCCGGCGATGATGGTCCTGGCGGCGCGGGGTGGACAGCCGATGCTGCCGCAGAGGTCGCCGAGCTGCGCCCACAGCGCGTTGTATGGACGACGACACTCTTTGCCGGAGGGCTTTGCCTGACCTCCCGCGAGGGCGATGGCGTCGTACGGGCTGACTGTAGTCACCCAGCCGAGGTGATAAGTGAGCACGTTGGTGAGCAGAGTGCTGATGAAACTGAAATAGAGATTACACAATTAATACAAAACAAATTATTACTAAAAAAATATCTGTCTTTGCCTCCAGTTTCTTATTGTTGGTTTGTTTGAAAATAGTTTTTACAATTAATAATTTAAGTATAAAAAATCAAATAACAACCATAAATTCATATTTATGGCAATATTATTTCATCAACTAGTCATATTTGCAAACAAAGGCGAGTATCCTATCACCACTTCGGCGATTTATGACAACATTAAGAAGAAATATTTCAAATTATAATACACATTTCGCCCACCTCTATGTGGATGATATATTAACACTTATATTTTACGTTATTCTAGACGAGAAACACGTACAGGAAGATTACCTATTTATGTTGAGATAACGGGAAGGGCGGGACATTCAACTCGCGTTCGTGTTCAATGAAACTAACATTACCACAAGTTATACTTAAAAATATGTTTTTAAGCCAATTTCTACTTTTAACGAATAATTTTTAAGTGCTTAATTAATGCCTTGAATTGGATTATACCTCGTTGTTCTATTAGTCACTTTTTTTATTTAATAATCATGTTATACAAAAATATGTCATCTGTCATTTTATATTGGCGGCCATTTTGGATTTTTCATAGTGTATACTTTGCTAGTGAAGCTCTTACATTTGATGTTCATGTCAAGATGGTTGTCCAAAAATATCATTAGCCATTTGCGATTTAAAATGACACTGAATATAATTATAGTCATCAGGACTAAAAGTGTGAAGAAATATAAAAAATACTAGCTGTCACCCGTGACCCTGTCCGCGCGAAATTAAAAAAAACTTAATTAGTAGCCTATGTATGAAGAAGACATACTATGTTCACAGACTATGTTCTATATGTATGCCAAAATTCATCGAGATACGTTAAACCATTCTGGATAAACCTTAAAAAATTCAACCATGTAGACATTCGAATTATATATTAGTAAGATACCAACAAATTTTCTTGTAAAACAATACACTAGTTCACACAATTCATCATCATCATCATCATCATCATCATCATCATAATCAACCTAAATTCTTCCACTGCTAGACGTAGGCCTCCCCCATCGATTGCCACAATGCCCGGTCTACACAATTTTTTTTTATAAAAAAATATTAGCAGATTTTTTCTAAAATTACTAATATTTATTTAACCATTCCAACTAAGCTCTAGGCTTGTGCTAGGATATGGTTTACGATAATAGTCGAATGGCGGGATTTGAACCCCCGACTTCGTGGTCGGAAATCCGTACCCTTAACCATTAGGCTATTGACGCTTAAATTGTCATATTATACCTAATATCACCTAATTAGGTTCTCAAGCAATTTACACGGACAATGCGCATTGAAGTACCGAAAGCGCGGGTATCACGTGAGCCTACGTAAACACTCCATATAAAAATAACCAAAGAAAACACGCCCGAGCTAAAAATAAAATAAAGTTACAATATGACGCTCTCCTCATTCACACATGTTTCGTAATTGACGCTCAAACAGAAATGAGCCAGAGACAAGACGTTTTGCTTTTCTTTTTATTCGTGCCATTTATCGCACGACTGCGCTGGACGTGAGCCAACCAAGACAATATACTTTTTGGTAATTAATTCTATTAGATAAATTATTATTAGCTTTATTTGATTTTAATTAAGTAACCTAATAATTTTAGCTTTAATCTGTGACAAATAAATAAAATTAATGAAAACTTTCGTCAAATATAATAAGCATTCCCATTCCACAAAGTATGTTATTTCCAAGATAAAAAGAACAAATAATTTAATCGACTAATTTATCATACACTATTTTTTGTAAGAATCGAACATTTAAAAAAAAACTATTAACCGTTGATCAGTGTGTGCTTACCCTTACAGTCATGTGATTGCCGAAGTTATCAAACAGGTAATAAAATTAATCTACGTCAGTGTAAGATATAAAAGAATTAACGCTTCCCGTATACAATGAAAATATTTTTACCTCCTGACAAAGTCACGCGGATAGCGTATCAAATATTTATATTCACACATTATCGAATCCCGATATAGAATTTAAATATCGAACACTCGTGACCGTTACTAAGATGATTCAACATATTTGTGAAGATTTATAGCTAGAGAATATACATTTTAAAAATAAACGATAAACGAACTAAATGAACTCAATCTAGATTCCTAGAGGAACGTCCCAATACAACGTGACCCATTTATGGGGAACGAAGTCGGATTTTAGTCATGTAGTCGTTACTTGTTTTTTTTTTCATAATACATAATTCACTAGTATTATAATTTAAGAATGCATACAGTCTTATGCTATAAAGAAGAGTATGAGCCAAATTATTTCTTTTTTAATGTTTACCTGCGAAATTATTAAAAATCATAATTCTGAATTACTACGTAAAAACTAAATTGGTGGGGTCTTGGCATGTACAGTCAGCGTCATATAGATCGTCACAGACAAGATATGCAAATATATAGGTACACCAAAAGTAATCAATTATATCGGTACAACAAAAGTCCTCAAAATAATAGAAACATCCACCCTGCTCAAATACATCGGTACATACACAGCGTCAAATATATGAGTACATGCAAGATGCTCATAAATATCGTAGCAGCCATAGCGTCATAAGTAACGAAGCAGTCAAGGTGCGCAAAAATATCGGTACATTTGACAAAATTGAACTCTATCTCTATATACTTGTGATACAATTTGGAATAAACTACTTCTGTTACATTCATTTGACGCTTTGTATTAACATTATAGGTTGTCCGGAAAGTTCGTTCTGATTTTCGATATAAAGCTTACAATAGACTGTAGCTGAAGTGGATTCATTTTCGGATTTCCACCATTATCAAACGTCACAAAAATTTCTATATTGTGAATAATTTCATTTCATTGGTTGAGATAAAAACTAATTTTTAAAATTTTATCTAATAATAAAAGACGTTTTAGGTATAGAGTCGTACCAATATAATTTAAAAACATTTCCAAAAATTTAAGAGAACAGGGTTTCAATTTTCCTTATAAAGCGGCACGAACTTACTGGGCAACCCAATATTTTTCTTCTCCTGTCATAACGCTTAAATATAAAAGTTTGTCACGCCGAATATGACAGATACGTATTAACTAATATCAAATTTGGCTTGTCACAATATAAATAATACTAGTTTGGCGCAGTATTCTAGTATGTTTGCCGTAATATGAAAGTTTACCGGTTCGAATCTCAGGCTACTTTTTTTTCATTTTATCAATCACGGGGTTATTTTTTCGTAACTAGTAAAAATTTGGTAATGTAAAATTTTGCTCGACAATTTTGTTTTATAATTTTCGCTGTCGGGTAGAAAGAAATTTAAATAAAGTTAACAACAATTAGGTCAGACCATCGCGGGTGAAGTGAGTGGGCGGAGCGTGGATTGTCTTCGCGGGTTTTAAGAATGGTACGCGCGGAAACTATACGTACAAGTGTTATCTACATATGTGTGCGCGCCCACGCACACTGGAATGTTTATTGCAATCGAACAAAAACTTGATGTAGTTTGGATATTGACATTTAGTTTTTTTTCTTTGTTTCTTAAATATAATCAGTATCAGTAAAAGGTAAAAGTAAAAGTGTTATTTTTACCGGTACAAGTTTAACAAACATGAGTAATAAACAAATTACATGCCAATAGCATCGCTTTATCTCCTTCATTTTTGTTTGAAATAGAAAAGTACTCATTAGTCCAAGGCAACTACGGCGATAGAATTTAATTACATGTGCTTCGATATTAAAATTAAAAAGTTTAAATATCAAAAAAAAAAATAGTGGCTTGGGATTTGAACCGCCGACCTTACGTACCAACGGCGGCGAACGGTAAGGCCACGAGACCAAACTAGCATATATGATGACAAACTTAAATTTGATGTTGGTTTTATCTACATAATATGTGTCATCCGCGTCGAACACTTTTAGTAAATTTTGAAAAATGGTTTGATACAAATTGTCAAATGAATGTAACAGAAGTAGTTTATTCCAAATTGTATCACAAGTATATAGAGATAGAGTTCAATTTTGTCAAATGTACCGATATTTTTGCGCACCTTGACTGCTTCGTTACTTATGACGCTGTGGCTGCTACGATATTTATGAGCATCTTGCATGTACTCATATATTTGACGCTGTGTATGTACCGATGTTTTTGAGCAGGGTGAATGTATCTATTATTTTGAGGACTTTTGTTGTACCGATATAATTGATTACTTTTGATGTACCTATATATTTGCATATCTTGTCTGTGACGATCTATATGACGCTGACTGTACTACGAGTGGTCACCGAGGGGAGGGATAGGTCAAAAAAACTAAAACAATAAGTCACATAGCATGGGTATGTTCCCTAATAATAGTTTACAAGATACACGTCTATTACCTTGACAAATAAAAATCGTATTGTAAGTTGTCAAGTCGTGTAGTCAATGTTTCAAACACTATAGGTTCGGGTCTATTGGCCCGGGACGAACGCACCGCACGTACAGTTAAGACGGGTTTGCTTTATCTTTAGATGCGTGGATGGACACAGCGCTATGGAATATTATATAATTACTAATATTATAAATGCGAATTTTTAGATGGATGGATGGATGACTGTTTGTTTGAAGGTATCTCCGGAACGTCTGAACGGATCTCGCTGAAATTTGTCATATATGTAGAAAATAGTCTTTTAGAACACATAGATTACTAATTATGTTTTTTTTTAATTCCGTGCGGACGGAGTCGTCAGTTAGTAGTATATAATTGAAACCTTCCGAAGGTGTTCATAAACATAGTAATTTTTATTCGCTTCGAAAAATACAGACAAACAATATGTTTTAAGGTTTCAATAGTGTAAGCCGTTCACAATGTAAATGCTCCGACGCAATAGTGGAATCTTTCACCTACACCTCGTTACAAATGGAAACCGCCCAAGAGAAATGACGCGCGCCTGAGTTGTACTGACAGACGGACTGTCGCAATATGTGCACTTTTGGAAGGTCAAGCCAAGGACGTAATAACTAAAGATATTTAAATTGTTTTGAAAATCTGTGAAAATTATATATTATATTGTGTATTAAAGCGACGGAATCCTAAGGTAAAACATCAAATTTTAAATAAAATTAATTTAATTACATTTGGCAAATAAATTAACGTCGCTAACTGTCTAAACGACAAACATGATACAATCTTAATAATATTATAAATGCGAATGTTGAAATGGATGGATGGATGGATAGACGTTTCTTAGAAGGTATCACAGCTCAACGGATCTCGCTGACATTTGGCAAAGACGTTGAACATTGTGCGAAACAACACATAGGCTACTTATTAAGTTTATTTTTTAACCTCGCGCGGACAGAGTCGCAGGAGACAGCTAGTATGCAATATTAACAAAGTTGGCAATCAAACAATTAACTGTCTACAACAAAGCAGGTTGTTAAAAAAAGTAATGTTTCATACATTTGAATTCCGTCATTACTACGGATATATTAAAATCGTATAAAATTGGCCGAGATCCAAAAATACTTTAGAATTTGTTTTTGATACTTTCTTATGTCATTTTAATTCACATTGGTAATAGCTCAGGCGCCACTAAAATATTTATACATTAGCTATTTGTTACAGAAAAATATACGATTACGTAACATATCAAGAATGTTCAAAGATATTTTCTTAGTCACACAATTTTCACATTTTTGATCAAAAAAAAAATGAGGACAGTATTCTACTACAGTTTATAATAGAATAAGGATTGTGATTTTATATTTACACTATCACTAACAGGCAATGTCATTTCCTATGGATTTATTTTGTAATCTTTCAGTTTTTTACCATGGGTTTCTGAGTCTATAATCTATGTTTAAAATATATTTTTATCTCTATGTTTTTAAAAGTAATGACAGGTACGATATGTTTTAAACAGACATTTTAGTCTCAGAAGCTCACGGTAAAAATTACATCTATCTAAAGGTAAAATTGTTTGGATTGGTACGGTACAAGGTAAATATTGTCAAAAATTATTCTGTATAACATTTTCAAATATCGTTAGCGAAATATGTAAATGTAGAAATATGTTTATGCAGTGTCAAAAAGGTGATACTTACAAATTAGTATCCTTGGTGTCTCCCACTGTTAACACTGCGCAGATATCCGACAACAAGGATTCTGACTGCTTGGCGCAAGAACGCGGCTCGCAGTTTAGCAGGCTCAACCACGATGACTGTAGCCGTGGACCGTACATTAAGTCAGATAACCTATAATAAAACGCTATACTGTAAACAATATTTATGATATGTGAGTTTATAAGACGTTATTTGCGCCCAATAGTCTAATAAGATGACTCCTGACCTATAGTACAAGAGCTACCAACCGGTTTTGTATAGACATAAAGTAATGATAGATTATTCAGATTAATAAAGGATTAAAATTACATTGTTTTTAGTACAAGTATACAAATTAGAATTCGAACACCTAATATCATCGAAATAGCAAAGTAACTAGAAACCAAAGATAATAAAAAACTGCATATAACTTGCCTTTAAAGAGAATTTCGCTTATCACAAGTATACTATGATTCGAATAGTTAAACAACATTCCGATCCATCCGACAACTCAGTTAGATTTCTTATTAGCTTTTTTGAGATGTAACTGTTTACGCAATTTTTCGATTCGCTCTAAGATCTTACCATCTCGCAGCATCCCTCGTAGCTTTATGTAACGTAGATACAAAGTTGCCTCCAGCTCCCGCAGCCATTGTCGCGGCTCGTAATCGACACACCAATGCTTGCAACTGAGGTGAGTGCTCCACACACCGACGGATGAAATCCCTAATAAATATACACTACCTCAAAATACAACACCTCACCTTCTTATGCTGCTCAATGTGGGTTTCTGATAATAAAATCTCCGTTTAAATCAGAGATTTTGGTCTCAGAAAGCAACGGTTAGAGATTTAAAATCAATCTAAGTATTAGGAATTTTAACTATTCGAGTAAAATAAGGATTCAAGTTTTAAAACAATTTTATCATTTCAAAAACGATTTGCATTATTTTTAATAAGTTAAATTTATTCGAACTTTAAAATAAAGGATTAAAAAAATACACACGTGACTTTACTTTTGAATTACTTAAGTCTGATCACTCTAATTTATTCGAATGGATGTCAAAATTAGAGCGATGAAACGACATAATAAGTAACTTATTTCGTATGTTTAAGGTTTAAATAAGCTGTAATGGTATAGTTGTGAAGGCATAATGTTTGTTATTGCTATTACCATCATAAACCGCGTGCTGTCACGAGTTTAGGATAAGTGAGAGTGATAACAAACAAACTGATAATAAAAGCAGTAAAACAACTCAGTCCTGAACAATCAACCATCATGTCATCATAGCCTTCGGAATAAAAAAGTTACACTGTAGTCCACCAAATTTCTCTGACCCGATGATCGCAGACAAAATACAATAACTCATTAACGGTCATCTAATATTGTTGATAAAGTAGGTACATAAATTCATTGTTGGACTGTAGCTGTCTGGTCTAATGTCAATTACTACGCTTATCTTTCTAATATTATAAATGCAAATGTTGGGATGGATGAAAAAAATGAAAAAAAATATGATATGGATATATGTTGTTGGAAGGTATCTCCAGAACTGCTGCATGGGTCCGAAATTTGGAATAGATGTAAAACATAGTCTGGAAGTCACATAGGCTACTTAGTCAGTTTTTAATTCAACGCGGATGCAGTGGAGGCGAGAGTCTGTGTTTTTATATTTCTAACAGAAGAATTAACATCGCATCTCATCGGGCCAGACATTTAAGTAGTATTATACTGATTATTATTGGTTGTGTTAGTGAGCATGTATACTTACATATCAGAGGAATCAGGTACAGTGATCAACAAAGCTAATCCCAGCTTGTTCCTACGCGGCGCTACTCCTGATGTTGCGCTCAGGAGGCTATCACTTGTGCCGCTCGTTGTACTATTGCTGTACATCTATGAAAAACAAACGCCTGCAAAGTTTACATATGTCTACTTAACGTTTCCAGATAAAACCAATGGAAACGAAATGGATATTTTCTACACTATGATGTTTTTTTTCTATGAGGTACGGAACCCTAAAAAGAATAAAATATTTGGAATACCAACGCATCCTCATTGTGTTAAAATCTATATATCAACAATATTACACCCTTCACGTGTTTGAAAAAATAAAGATAAATGTTCTTATACATGTTACATGCACGACAAGTTTACGCTTAGTCGATATCTATAATGCGAATGTTAAGATGGATATGATGAGGATATGTGGGCAACACTAATTAAGTTTTTTATATATCCACGCGGACGGAGTCGCGGGCGATATCTATAATAGTTTATTATATAAATACGAGTCCGGATACGTTTAGTTATTGACATATGCTATCATAAGACCTTGCGTGCCTCGGAAATGTTTCTAACAAATTAACATATTCAGTATACTCAAATATATTTTACAAATATTAATAATACATTATTATTAATATATTAGCACTTAGCATTTGACTACCGTAATAAACGTATGAAAAATGGATTGTAAAATACGATTATTATTATTATAATACGAGTCATGACCAGTCATGACGAGACATGTCCAGGACCGGCTTCAGGATAGGCCGCAGTTGGGTCGCCCTGAGCGTTTGCGAATGCGAATTACACAGTCTCACATAACTTTGATAACTCCCTCTCTCACAAAGGCATGGTTATAAATGAAGGCGCCGTAGAAATCTCGCCCAGGGTATAAGTAGAGCTAATACTATTCTCGCACTGAAGTATTTTCAATGGCGACTATCATTTAACATTTATCGAAATACAATTTTGAATGTGGGATTCCACTGCTGATAAACACATTTTAGTTAAGTGTTTGTAACTGACAATAACACACGGAATAAATCTTAATAATCCACACGACAGTATTAGATTCGATAAGCATTGATTGATTGTCAAAGACTATCGGTCAATTACAGCTGGCATATAACAAAAATAAAGAGATTTTTTTTATTACTTAATATAAAGCGTAATAATTGAGGTTATCACGCCACACATCTGACAAACAATGGAGGCTTATAAAAAAGAACAGATTACCCTTTGTCTATTGTTATCTGTGATAAATATAAAATGAATTAAAAAAATCACAACTCAGATATCGTGCGACAAGGTTATGCATTCGAAAAATATATGAACTATCTGACCAATGAGGGAATGTCAGTTGCGCGGTTTAATGTTGCCATTTTCAATAATTTAAATTCCATAAAAATTACGCATGATGTCATGATATGTAGCTTAATTTGCTAAAGTGTTTGGATGTATCAATTTAAAAAAGTAAAGAATCACTACGAGTACTCGGTTGCAAATCAATTGCTTAGGGTTGGAACATGGACGACTTTCGGAAGATGTTAGGAAATCCACTGGCAACCCTTCAAACTTGTAGACTGTGTCAACGTCAAAAACTTTCATAAGATCCTTGACGGCTGACAGGCTATTGGCATCGGCTAACGTGAATCGCATGCTTATAAAAGTTCATTTAAAATTTTCTCTTTTGACGTAAACTTTGAAGAGATTATTTTTAATTTATTTGCGATTCTTGTCATTTGACCGTCAAGCCAAATGCTTTGTCTCCTCTAAATAAAACATTAAAAAGATTTCTTGCCATCGATGTAATACCGTTAGTTCAAACGAGTTCTACATGACTGCATTAGGTCAGATTATGTACCTAGCACTTTTAGAAGACACTAGAAAAAACTAGATAAAAGTAGCCCAGCTAGAACCAGTTGCTTGCAATTTGACTTCTTTGCCAAGTGAATTTATCTGATATGATAATATAACCTAAGCGAATGCATATTTTATTTCCTCTTTTTAAAGAAAATGGGAAGCAAAATAAGTATATAATATTTAAAAATAAAAATCATAATAAATAACTGATTAATTCAATATAAATACCGCGGATAACTTTCTAAAAAAGTAATTTTATTGCATACCCCTCATAATTTAGCTTCACAATATAACTGACCATAACCAATATTTTACCGATCGATATTATTAATTATATAATAGAAATAATTGCGTAAACACGAGTGCAAACAATTAAGTGTAATCTATTAATTATCGGGGCTCAATTAGTTAGTGATAACGGCTCACATGACTGTTGTCCGGTGGCCGGTGCGGTCGCGCAAGTGATGTCATGAATCACGCGCTTCGACGCCGATAAAGACATTAAGCAAGCTTCACTACTGTCGCGATGTAGTAATTTTTAGGGCAGGTATATAAAACCAAATGGCACACGACGTAATTAAGACATTTCGAGATATTTCGTACTAGAAAAGTGTAAATTTTCCTACGCTACAGTATATTCCCGATAATCACAGAATCAAAATTGTTTGATGGCCTCGTATTAAACATTTCTGTTAAAATGTCACGTTCTTATGTAAAGGTCTACTATCCCTGATTTATAGTATTCAATGAATACGTAATGAAAACGTTACAATATGCTTACTTAATCAAATTAACATTCATAAATTTGACTTGCAATATTAACATGTTCCATACCACTACGATTTTTATCTCAAACTCGCCCGGCGGCTCGGTGGCATTTAATGTGTTAAGATCCAATCTATATAGAAATACATATCAATGGGTATGTTACCTGTGAATCAGAACTGGCGGTGTTAGGAACACTGAGGAAGCTGGAACTGCCGAGGTCGAAGCGTGTGGCCATACTCTGGAAGGTTCTACGTTGCCAACTGCCTGTACTGGACACGCTTAGCTTGCGACCCGACGGGCCTGGAGGGAATTATTTTAATGTTATACAAAGGTAACAGTTAAGGAAAGCCATTTACTTTATGAATAACTGGTTTAAAAGTACTTTAGTATTTTTAACTAGCTATTGCCCACGACTCCGTCCGCGCGAATATGTTCTCCCTGACTATGTCCTACATTTGTGCCAAATTCAGGGAGATCAATGCAGCTGTTTTAGAGATTTCTTCTAACAAACATACATCCATCCATCCATGCAAACATTGGCATTTACAATATTGGTAGCAACAAAAACTTTTTTTAATGAAAGCCTTCTTTTACATTCAACGTTACATTTGTGCGTGTATTTAACAATTTATACAATGCAATTTGAATCACATTCAGAGACGTAATAAAAAAAATCCATCGCAAGCTACAATCTAGATTATCTTTGAAATTATTTTCAATGATAATGATGTGCTAAGAGCTAACGTCAGGTATTAGAGCATTATTCTATGGACATAAATTTTAATAAACTGAAACGTGGTATAGGGTCCTTGACCTTTGATAATGCAATATAAATAGTGACCAACTAATGTCACTATCTTTACGTCATTCGTAAGCGAGAGTTTATGCGTGAATTTTATGTTATATCTTATATCTTACTAATATTATAAATGTGAATGTTTAGATGAATGGATGGACAAATATTTCTTTCTAGCTATCGAAATCGGCTGAATGGATCTAGATAAAATTTAGTATAGCTGAAGAATACAGTCTCGATGAACTCAGGCTACCTATGATCCCGGGAATGTATACCGTTCCCATGGGATACGTTTGAATAACATATTTACTCGATTACTTTGTAACGCCTCAACATATGTTATTGAAATTTGGGTATAGAACATACTAATCTTCTTGTTTCCTTTTAAATAAATAAAAACTTGTGTCCGTAACTCAGAGACATCAACTTCCTGACTATATTCCACTCACATAGGTTCGGCTATCTTTCGTATTTCAATAGTAACGCACTACTTACATAACTCCGAGACAAACACATTAATTTAGCTCACATTACCATATATACTCTCTTAAATATGACGCTTTTGAATAACTTTATAGAAACATCAACAATCTGTCATCAGTTTCCGGTCGATACTGACGTCGATGCCCTAAATATTGCATACTGACAAATGCTATCAGCGTAACAATGACGTCACGATTCTATCAATGAAATTACGTTCTTATACAACTTGATACTAATCCAAATTTTAATTATGCTTGTTTCACATGAGAGTAGAACAGTAGAGCAGTGTAGTAGGACAGTACTGCTATTGTTTGATCGGTAAGTATACGTTCAAGTTATTGTAGTACTGCATCTATTATTTTGCCCTTGTGTGAAACTATCATTAGTCTCGTATTTGACGAATAAAGGATGCGTGGTCAGCCAACTCATGTTGACAATTAAATCCCATTTAGTCTGTTCGTTATGTATGGCGTAAAAATCATCTTATTTTTAGGTTGGACTATAAACTATTAAATATAAAACTGGGAACGCTAACCTTAGCTATCTTGTCTCTTGTGCCATAACGATGAAGATACACTTCCAACGGCTAGAAAAGTTGGTCAGATTATATAAATTAGTGATACTTACAATGGAAACTTAACTCGTCCTGCGTGTTACTTCTATCCCCGGTATCGTACATGGAATAGTGTTCGAAGTTTGACCCCACGCTGCTGAAAGGTGATTGCTCGCTGTAGAAACCTGCGCAACTTTATAAACTTTATATTTGAACTTCATACATAGAAATAAAAAAAAATTCAATATACGTTATGGTTCTGATTGTATAAACTGTATTCGGTTTTGTTCAATGATTTTGTGACTATAAATAAGTGTGAAATAGCATCTGGAAAAGACTTTTTTCCTTTGCTAAATCTATACTAATATAAAGCGGAAGAGTTTTTCTGTTTAACCGCGCTAATCTCAGGAAGTACTCGTCCGATTTGAAAAAAAACTTTTTTTGTTGGATAGTCCATTTATAGAGGAAGGCTTTAGGCTATATAACATTACGCTGCGACCAAAAGGAGCGAAGCGTCAGTGAGAAATGTTGCAAAAACAGAGAAAATTATGCACATTTGATGACTTTCGTTGCGTGCGCTGCATAAACGGTTTAAGTTACTCAAAAAATATGTATGAAATGTATTAATAAATATTACACAATCGACCATTTAAAATTAATTTAAAAGTTGATTACTTATTTAAAAACAACCTTAAATATATTATACGATTATAATTTGGCACATGTAAGAAAATACTCATATTATATATTTACGTAACTCTAGTTTCTTTACATCTGTGTGATTTGCTGTGACATCACCTTAACAAAACCGGGTACATTCCGCATTCCTAGCGATGGAGCATCGCAAATTGATCGCTTACAAAGTAAACAATACTTTATATTCCTAATCGCAATTTATATGCAACTGTTTTATACTATTTTTAATGCAAGCAAACAAGAATTGTTCAAAATAATCACATTTATATACTAAAATGTATTCCGAAAACATTATTTTTAAACGTAACTCGTCCGAAATTCTATTTACATAATATTATCCAATATTCTACCTGTCTCTTTAGTAATTTTTATGAAGCAATTTAACACGTGCAACGCCGCTACGATCTTTTCAATCATCTCACTAAGAGATTCGGCGGCACTGAACGTGTTAAAGTATAGCTCATAGTTAAACCATATGTATACCAACATACCCGAATCTCCCCTATCGATGGAGAAACTGAGTGACACCTCCTCTCCCCTCCACGATGGCACGTTTAAAGGCGTCGATGAGTTGCGCACCACGTTATTGTTGGTTTCGCTGGTCTTGCGCTCGACGCGGCTTATCCTTCGGGACATTGGTACGCAGAACACTTTCGTGCACATAAACCTAATGAAAGCAATACGACTTTTACATTACAAGGTAGCAAACGCGCAAATGGCGACGTACCTAGAGGAGAGGACACACAGAAAGTAGAAATTTCCACTTCCTATATGCATAGGAAGTGGAAATTGGAGGATATGCATCCTCCTCTGGCATATCCACTTCTCCTTCCCATAATTTTATATAAAGGTTTTTATAATTAACGGTGGCCAGGGAACGTGGACTAAAATTAGGTCTCTAGTACGCACACTCATCAAACAAACGCACAATTGCTTCCATTGTTCGTTCGTCAAGTGTCACGCCTATCTTCAAAAGTACTGTAAATATGTGACTTTATAGTAAAAACAACCTAGGACGTCTTGTGTTTCTTTTTACTTTCAAGAAGGATTTAAAAAAGTACAGTATTAATATATCTTTTGAAATCTTAACACGATTTTTTTTTATTTTAAACAATGGAAACTTACAGTGAGGTGCATGTTTTTCATTCAGTACAAGTAATTAGCCATTATAAACTAACAGATATAAAGAAATCAATAAATAAACGTCTATACTCTAGCACGCTTAGAGTTGGGAGCTTATGAATGGAATTGTTTCATACACGTATTATCTACACCACTTGTTTTAAATCGTTCGAATCCACTCCTGGCTGTTTGCCAACATCCTCCGGAATCTCGTAAGGTCAAGATCACAATTATTCATTAGATCACATTAGTCCGGAAGGTAAAAAATGGAACAAACAAGATACACTTTCGTACGTGACGCGAAACTTAAAAAAAAACATGCGCTATTTTTAAATACTTCTATATTTTGCACAATGTAATTTACAATTGGTTTTAATATTGTTATGGTACTTTCACAAGCTAGACATTGGATTTAGTTACTGAAATTTTATGGGTCGTTTAGATTTTTACCTACCTATGACTTTTTGTTGTTATCTCGCAGATTGAGAGTTTTAACAAAAAATATGACTAAATTAAAATTGGCTTTTTGATGACTTCATTAATATTTTCTTTACAGGGTGCTCATTGTCAAGTTTTTTATTAAATTTTTTTGTTTTTTTATTTTAAGACTTACCTTTTAGGATCATTCATAATGTGAATCTTCAGCGAGACATTTTTAAAGTTCATCGCGACAGCACCAAATATCATATCACCGAGCACGCTCGCGTCCGCCGCCGGCCCCTTATACTGCGAAAAAATTGCTAATGTTTACGAGTATGTCCTTCAATTCGCCTTACAGCTTTCTACTTCAGATCAATGACCCTTTACTCTATTGAAACATTTTAATAATTCAATAGGAAAATTATTGTAGTGTGTTAAGGATATTATGGCCATTCTGACCAAACTTTTTATAGGAGTCAGTTTTCGTAGTCTAAATTAATCTATAATAGTAACATAGAACTAGGGTAAAATCTTGTAATCTAAAACACAACTTAAAAATCCCATACGTGGCTGTTTGTAAAATTCAAATTAAAGATAAATGTTAAAGTGTTAAATGCAATGGAGATATTTTGGAAATAAAAAGAGTCTTGACAAACAGACGGACCTGACAACAAAGTGAACCTATAAGGGTTCGGTTTTTTTCCTTTCGTGGTACGGAACCTTAAATATCGCTTTCGTATCATTATGCGTTGGCAATAGTGTATCTTTTTTATTTTTAAAATACTACTTTAATCTATGGGTAAATGTCGTCAACAAACATGCTTTGTCACAATTAAATAATCGAAAACAAGTTTATTAAAAAATCAACAAGACACTAGATAAGGTAAAATCTACACAAACTCAGTGCATAAATAGACAAATTTGTTTTTTCAAGATTCGCTAGAAAACCATACCATGAACGGTTACAATTAATTAACGTTACACAAAAAGAACACTCTGTATATGGGGGTACGTTCATTAGTCCCACTTATGGCGTCTGTTATAATCAAAAAGGCTAACGTATAAAGTGGATCTAAATTTAGATCGCAAGCGATGCGAATAAACGTTGAGTTGAATCGGCCTGGTCTCGTGACAGCATTGTCTCAATTGTCGAGTTATTTTTATTCAGTATGATAAGGTTTCGCTAATTCGCGGACGTTAGCAAACATTGCCAAAAACAGGACATATCAAGACATTATGTTTTACATACAAACAATAAATATTTTTATAGTTTAATTTTAGTTTCTTTTAAAATATTATCATTATTCTATTCGTATTGCTATCCTTGAAGCTTGTTGAACAATAGTAGCAGATTTATATCCAACTAGTTGTAGCCTGAAACTATATCGGCGCGGGATTAAAAACCTTAATTAGTGTTCTTCCAGACAATGTTATCAAACTATGCCAAATTTCAGAAAGATCTATGCAGCCGTTCTGGTGATACCATCTAACAAACATCCATCCATAAATTCATATCTCCAAAATCCATAGAAATTATCTCCAGAACGGCTACATGGATATCATAGATGAAGAACATAGTCTGGAAGAACACATAGGTTATTATTTTTTTTACTTCCGCGCGGATGGAGTCGCGTGCGGCAGCTAGTACATAGTAAAGTAAATTTTACTTACAAGTTGTTATAATTGATAAATTCATATAAGATTCTTATTCACATTTTTTTAAACTAGAACATTAATATTTACGGGCCGCGTCCGCGAAATAATACCAGTACCACTCACCCTGATGAAGGGCCCCCGATGGGCTCGAAACTAGTCGGTGCCGCCACCGGACGTATATACGTGAGTGTTTAGCCGTGTTTATATATCAGTTTAAATGTCATATGATAATTATATAAAGTGACAACAAACATTACTAATTGAATAATTTATATCAAATAAATTGTGTGGAACAAGCTACAAAATGCAAACTTTATTACAATAATAGCAATTCTTATATATATATATATAATATAATCGGAATCTCGGAATCGGTTCCAACGATTTTCATAAAATTTAGTATATAGGGGGTTTCGGGGGCTATAAATCGATCTAGCTAGGAATAAATATTAGATAATGTCATTTTATTCGTGTTTTATCGATAATCAACTTAAACATAAACTTAACTTTTTCTATCGGTAAGATCGTAAAATATTATTCATATTTTATCATTTTATTAGTAATTCGTACTTAAATATAATTTTTAAAAAACACAATTAAAAAAAATACCGAGCAAAGCATTTGTCATCCAGGTACTAATATTAAAAAGAAGTAAGATTAGTTAATATCATATTAATTAGCAATAATATTTATCTATGGTACTGTATGTTCCCTATACTGTGTTGTGTGGTTGAAAGGGTTCAGTATTTGTTAAGAAAAACTTACATATACAAGATATATAACAAATCACAGGTACTAAGGAAACACATACTTAGGCCTTCCCATATTATCTTGCATGCTATATAAACATCTCACTCCTAATCTTACTAATATTATAAATACGAATGTTTGTATGGATCAGTGGATGGATAGATGTTTGTTTAAAGGTATCTCTAGAATCGCTGAACAGATCTTGATGTAATTTGGCATACATATAGAACATAGTGTGGAAGAACACACAGGCTACTAATTTTTTTTTGATTAAGCGCGTACGAAGTCGCGGGCGACAACTAGTTTAACAAATAATATTTAACTTACCACATAGCTGTATCCATCTGCCACCTCCACAATACAAGGGATATCAGTCTTCTGGTGTTGATCTGGCTTTCCATTCTTATCAGCTGGGATTCTCTCTATTGTAGATGAATCAAAGAGAACTTTCCTACCCCTCCAATCACACTCTTTGAACAGTAGCAACCTCACTTGCTCCGGAGTTATCTCACAGGATCTTCATAAAAAGAATAAAAAAATATAAGGTTTCTATCTCTTAATATTTAATTAATTATCTATTATAGAATACAATTAGTATTGTAAAGTTTTATAAATATCTTTTACAATTCTTTTTTGTCTGAATTAATTGAAATAATAATGAGCAATCTTAAAAAACAATAATGATTATGTGAAGAATCTGATGACATGTTACATTTAAATAATTAAAATTAATAAACATAAAGGAATTCAATAAAAGAAATATACAAGCATAATGAATTCGACATTCAGTATTTTTGAATCAATTAAATAAACAATTGCATGATAGTATTTATAGATAGAAAATATTCTTCTAACATAATATATGAATGATATGAAAAGAAACTTGTGATATACTTTACCCTCTTAAAACATGTTCACATCCAGAAATGTTTTGATAAAAAATCTTAATTTTATTAAGTTAATTAATTAACTAATAAATCCAATTGTAATAAATATTATAACAATCAGATTTATTTGAGATAACACTTGAACTTTTATAAAATAAATGTAAGTTGTTAAATCAATATCAAACATTAAATAAATATATCACAAGGTTTCACAATCCTAAAACAAGTGAATCGTGTACATACTAAATACAGTATGTGCAAACTTTCTCTTTTACACATAAGCAGTCACATGCTTCTTAAACATACAATACAATAGTAACATCATATGCTATTGTTTACACATGTCAACAGCTAATAAATCTATAAACTGCATATTATTTTAAATAATGCTGTATATTATTTTAAGTAACACTTAACAGGACACCATTTAGTTCCACCTCAACCAACAAGTGTACACTGCTTAGAACTGCTTTGTTTAGGATTTAATTTACTATTAATATTCTAGACATATAAAATTGTGAGATGTCAGGTTATAATAAAAAAAACACTGCAAGTTAATTACCTAAATTTCATTTTATTTCATAGTCATGTATGGATAGACCTCACAGCTGTTCACTGACATGTAAAAGAGAAATCCTTGTCACACAAAATCACCGCCTAACAAAATGCAATTCAGAAAGTTTGATTTTAAATGCACAAAGACTGCAGCGATTCGACTGGCAATCGGCCGACCGGAGTGGAATGTGCAAGTGTACTAGCCTCTGACTAAAAAGTAAGTAAACATAGAAGTACGCCTCCCCTCTTCCTGAGTGACGCGATCGTTGCGCCCACGCCCGCCGCCCGCACCCCGCCCTTATCACATGCTCGTGCCTCCCGTAGTATTTGTCGGCTGTCGGTGACGCTCGCCCAACTGCCGATGTTTGCGTCAGAACCAATTCATGATACGAAAGTACAACGAACGTATTTGAAGAGACGAAAAGACGACGATTCGTGCGTCAACTATTTCAATGCATGCCACGCTCTCAAAAATATACCTAAATTAATAAAACGCATCCTCGAAACATACCTGGCCCAGTTTCTTGAGCCCCGATCAACGTAATCGAGTTTTCTCTTTGTTGAAAAGATCTTATCCAACAATGCCATTTCCTCACATTAAACATTTCACGTCATTTTCATGATCAGATTTGCCATGCATCTTTAATCGTAACCAATTATCAC